AATTCTGACCTGGATGACTAAACATTTGTAGACACTTCGTCTGGGCTGATGTTGCATAGCAATGTAGCACAAACATAGTTCTGTGGCCTAATCTACATTTCAGACATTAGATTTCCTTTCCAATAATATTTTCTTCTGTCATATTCTTTAGTGCAAAAGTGCATTTGCACAACAAAATAATTTCTTCTGTTGAAAAAGTAGCAGTGCTAAGATCAGCATTGTTTCAAATTATGTTATTAATTATTTCAAATACCCTAAAATCATAAAACACGCAGATACAAACAGCACACACTAAAATATTGTTTAATGCAGAACACTATGTTTATTAGAAAGGTATTCGAGTAACCACAGCAATATTTAAGAGGAACTGTCTTGTACGTGAAAGTCCTACAAAAAGATGAAAGAAGTAAATACAGACAATCTTTTAGCATAACTTGACATTTTTTGGACTTTGGGAAATTGTTAAAAATTAAAATACTGTATGCCAGGTTAAATTGGTCACCGTTATTAAAGAGCCATAATATCAGATCTCAGACAGTCAGTGTGGTTGTTGGGACAAGTCACTGTACATTTTCTTCTGCATTCTATTGTCATTTCTAATAAATAAAAATATTTATCCAAACTTTTATCGAATGATAAGAATTTTTATCTGGCAAAAAATTATGTAATAATATATTTTAAATTCTTAAATGATTATTAATTTTCCTCATTTTTAAATGGTCAAAAACACTATAATTTCAAGTCAAAGTATCGTTGTCATGAGATTGTCATGTTATGATAACATTAATGCAGTCTTGTGTTAGTTGCAACTTACATTTTTACAATTAAATATTGCATTTATACTAATGAAATCCAGTCTTCCAGAAATCCCACACATACAGGTGGACCATTGCGTGTTTTTGTGTGTGAGATTCTCTGTTGCTTAGAAATGGATAATTTCTCATCCTCTCTCAACATTTACTCATCCTTTCTTTCTCATTCTCATTCTCATCTTGTCTCAGGGTCCAACTCAATTCCAAATCTTCAAGAAGCTGTCCCATGAGCCAGTGCAAACACACATGCCATCTTCTGGTACTCCAGTGCAGCTCACCCTGTTGTCATGGCCAGACAACACGCCTACAGAAGAGAAAGGAAGGAAGTAAGTGAGAGTATGAATTTGACAGCGCTTTGTTTTTTATGCACATTTATTTAATTTGCAATGAAATGGAAGTAGCTAGCGACTGATCTACTGTATTGTGACACAAAGCCGAGTACAATGGCTTATTGAAAACGAAAAAAGGGTGATTTTATGTATAGGTTGTTGATTGGATGTTGAGATGTTGCTGTTGCATTCAAAAGTGGAGGCAGATGATCACAAACTCGCAA